AGAGGAGGAGGAGAAGAAAACGTATATCTTCAACCAGTCCTTGTTAACATGCATTTTTCTGAGCCCGGTAACCCCTTGCTGGGCTGTTTATGAAAACCTGTAAAGTCTTGAAAAGCTAAACGGCAGGGTCTTCATTTTGTCGCCCTTTCTTCTTTGCTACTTTTATGTTACACGGCACAAAAAAACGATCGTAAGCCAGAGATTTATTGCGAGCCAGAGGATGAGGATTTCTACCTGAGCCCCAAGGGGACACAGCTTCAGAGTGGCTGAACCACACAAAAAGTTCTTTGAAGTGAAACGTATGGCATTCCTTGACTTTACAAGGTTTTGAAGGAGTTTATCGCTCCTCCCCAGTGTTCGAGCGTTCGGATTTCGACAAAACAATAGAACAACTTTCAAAAGGTGAGGTCCGAGATCATGGTAAGTGTCCTAGCACTCTATTTTTCTTACAGACATTTTCAACTGCTGTAAAGAGACCTTTGCTTTGCACTATACCCCACTTCGCTGCAGACGAAGGGGCGTGTCAGGCTATAGGAATGTGCCACGACGCCAAAACCGTTCTCTACCAGTTGCTGAAGCGGGTATGTGACAGCAACCAGTAGAAAGAGAGTGGTTCGAACGCAGCATTGTTACGCGCTCGCTTCAACGATGGTGGAGAAGGGATCTGGCACCGCGCCAAATTCATCCCGCCTTGCACGCCCCTTCGTTCGCACTGAACCAGACTGTATAGCAGGTCATGCTGTACTGCATTTCGGACCAAAGTGGGAACCAGTATCGATTTACTCCAATGAGGCATGATCGCTTGTTTGCGGCATTTGGAAGCTCTGATTTTGACGAGATTCCGCGAAAAAAGGAACGCAGGATTTTAAAATGCAAAATAAAAAAGTATTGAAAAACGCTACCTTTTGCATCCATGCCCACGGCCAAGCATTTGTTGAAACGGCAATGCCGGCATGCACATCGTATATCTGAAAGGAATAGTTCTAAGTACTTTGGGACTCATTAGAATTTATAAAAAGATCTCTGTGTGTATGTGACGAAAAGTAAGGGAAGAAAGTAAAAATATAGAAAAAAAACCCCTTAGGCGGGCTGAACCTAAAAGGTGCGCCTCGCATATGACTTCTTTTGAGAAAAGAAACTAGTCGACTGACTGTGACGTATGGACCACTAAATCACGACTTTTTACATTTTGACTGGTTCCATACTAATCAAAGACATCGTTGATTAAGAAGTTGCGTTTACGCCTCACACAAAAATGGTTCTGGTTGACCACCGTAGGTCACACATGTAATTTCCAGTTAGGAAACCAGTTTCATTAAAGAAAAGAAAAATCTGAATTTTCCTGTGACAGGTCAGACAGACGGAAGGTAATTTTAAACTCTTTAGGATGAAAAGCGGGTGAAAAGCGTATGAACGTGCAGCTTAAATGGCATGAAAATTCCATGGCATTTTCCTCTCATTTGACGAATTTTAACTCTTATAGGGAATAGGTTTATTTGAGAAAATGTTTTTTGCAAGGGACGTTTACTTGTTCCAGAGGACGGAGACATTTGGTTCTCGAGGAGGCTTCAACCACTGCTTTTGGTGGAATACCTGGGCTAGATTTGAACCTACGAGATTACAACTAAGCTATCCAGGCGCTACATTGCTCCATGCTAAAACGAATGCCATGACGCAGAGGAAGTTTCGGGGGAATATGGTCCCCCTAGCCAGGGTCAGGCGGACAAGCAATCCTCGACGAAGTAATTAGTCGCTGGGAAGGGGTCGTAATCAGTCTGATGCAAATTTTCTGATTGTCGATTTTTTTCCGTTCTGGACGGGAAATATGTAGCCCACTGGGAGGATATGCAGAGCACATCGTTGTAGGGGAATTCATAGGGGGGTCGTATTTGGCCGCCAGGAGAGGGGGGGTCGTATTTACGTTTTGGCGTTGTAGGAGTGGTGGTTGACTTTTGGTGATTTTCCTGTTTCATACTATATGCCCCCCCCTCAAAAAAAAGGGGGGGGGTGGAGACTCGACTAAAATCCCAACCAATGATGTGCCCTGCGAATATGAGATCGTAATCTGTGGGTACAGGGGATAAGAGGTCGTACTAATGAGGAAGTTTCCTTAGTCGCTTGCTTCACCCTACGAGAAAATTTTCTTGGTCGCCCCCCCCCCCTGTTGGAAAATCCCCAACAACGATGTGCTTTGGTCAGACCACGCGCCGTCGTTGCGGAGAAATTTTGCACATCACATCACGCACGTGATACGGGAAAAACCGTCAACAATCGCAAACATTTTTCGAAGGCAAATGCGACCCCTTCATCCCTGCAGCGACCGAACACTACCCCATCCTCTCTTCCCCTCGCTGCACGTGCGATGTCCCTGCTCCCGGTCAGGGGTATATGATTCACGCGAACAGGGGAAACCCCAAACAAAGAAAGAGCAGTCAGAAAGGGATCCCTTCCGCTCCATCACAAGTAAGATACAACCTTACTCTCTCATCAAAATGTCCAGTTTATGGCGGTGCCCTGTTTCCCGAGTTGCAATGATAAGAAAAACTAATGTGGCGCTCTTTGGTGCGTATTTGTGTACACATGTGTTACACGCGTTGTCGTGGTGGCACTGCATTCTTTCAACCACTGCGTCTTGTTCTCTCGTCCAGTCACTACTAATGGCGACTTTTTTGTTGTTTGTGCGATGACAACCCCGCCACTCACCCTCTTTCTTTCGCTCTCTTGCCGCCCTGCCAGCATTGTTAGTTGTTTGGGCGCTCAACCAGTCACCTGATAACTCGCAACGAAAATGAAACTAATCATTCTCGCTAGAGTAGCCTTCGACAAACAAAATGTGCACGGCGTACGCACACATCTACAGCGTATATCCATACTGAAGGCATATGGCACGGTAACTAGGTACTCGCTCTAGAATGCTAGCAGGGTGCTATATAGTGGGGAAAATGGCGAAAAAGAAGTGAAACGGTCAAAAACCTGCGAAGAAAAGCCTTCATTCTTAATGACTCAAAAAGCAATTTCGGACGAGTTTCCCACAGGCATCTTGCAAAAAAAAAACCGCTACGGTAGCTCGGATGCACGTGTTTACCCATAAAAACCGCTACGATAGCTCGGATGCACGTATTTACCCATACATCCATGCAGCCATACAGAACCTGTGCATGACCTTCATATTTTACTTAGCAAATGAAGCAATACGAGCATTAGGGTACGGTCGTCTACTTTGTGGGCGGGAGGGCGCGGTGGGCGTCCGGGCCGGTATGTTGCAGTTAGCCCCTTATAAGGGTACCTTCCTTGGAAAAGGCGCTACGCAGCGCCTGCTCAGGGACGCGGAATTCCGTCCTGCCAGGCGTACTAATCCTACTCGTCTCGGGGATTCATCGTGCCAAGTGCTAACTCTGGTGGAAGTACAGTAGGAACTGAATTTCAGGCGATCAAGGCACGTAGAAAGTTGGAGAGCCTCAGCGAGGAAAGTCGCATCAAGTCGCTGGAGTAGGGGCCAGGGGTCTGTATATGCCCTCCCCCCTGCTCGACTGCAGGTTTTTTGGAAAGGGAAAAAATGGTGGGACCCTTGGGAAGTTCCCCGAAAAAGTGGTAAGTTGGGTAAATTCAAGAAAGTG